TAGAGATGGAAGAGGAGAAAAGGAGGCAGGGAGGGAGGCAGAAACAGCTCCAGTCTAGCATCTGGATTTTATTAGCAGCCGTTGGGAAAATGTGAAAAGGAAGTTTTTTCTCTGTGAGCACGTCGGCAGCAGTGATATGCTGCACATAACCACTTCACTGGCGACAAGAGGAGCCAGGCTCTCCCAAAGGAGAACAGATGGTCGCTAGAACTTCAATACAATTACATCAACAGCTCTCGCAGATATAAGCTCGGTATGACAGAATCCCTGCAGCTCGGTGAGACAGAAATACAACTCCTCCAACCTCAGCACCTCTGGCCCCAGATTAATTGCATTTGATTCATCATTCTCTCCCTGCTTGTCCTCGAGGTAGCCCTGCTATTATTGCCAGTTTAACCAATAAAAGAAGATCTGGGTTCTTTTGAATTGGAAAACCCAATGACCTCTCAGGGATTTGATTGTTGTAATCTGATCAAAGACAGGATGGGTTTTTTTTCAGTGCTTAGAGGGAAGAACAGATGACCCCCAACCCCGAAACCCCAGTCCTCCAATTCCCCTGCTTTGTTTTTTTGCTCAACGTGCTTGTTCAGCCGGCTCTGCATGTGTCATAAAGATACTGGTAACGAGAAAAAAATGTCTGTGCTTGGATCTTTAGGAAAAGCACAAGCATTTTGTTGACTTGTAGGGTCTATCATTGGTAAGAATCTGGATTTCCACCCTAGCGAAGTCCTGTTTTAGGGTTAGGTTTAAACGTTAGAGTGAAATAGATGAAATGTAATAACTTACTTAGACAAACCTCTAAAAGCCTGTTGATGCACTGGTCTTTCTCTCACCCTGTAATTACTGAGCACTTTAAAGACTTTAAACTCCAATCAGCACAAGATAAACCATAGGCTGCTGTAAAATCAGCTTTCTTTACTGACATAGGAAACTTTACAAACACATTCCCATATTACCTGTTATGGAATCTAAGTTTCCTTGGATTAAACACTTCACAACAAGGAGCTCCTTGGCAGACCTAGAAAGCATGCTTTTTTTGTTGCTCTTTTTAGCTGTCAGATGGTGTTTTGGTTCTGTGCCAACTGTATTGTTTTTTTGTTTTTTCCCCTAAAAATGTCATTTTACGCTGGTAATATAAGATGGGCGGTACTGCATCCATAAGTCTCATGTCCAAAGCATGGGTTTACAATTCCAAAATGTTTTGATATAAAGGCCTTAAGGGGGGTGGCGGGGGGGCTTATTCTCTGTTTGTGTGGACTCCACAGCGGCCTGATAGGGAACAGATGTGGAAAGGCAGGCGGCTGGGCAGCCAGCCAGAGCAGCTGGGAGAAATTAAAAACAACAGCATTCCTGGAGACTGGGGGAATTACAGTGGGAGGGCAGGAGCAAGAGATGGAGAGAGAGACAGAGAGAGAGAGACAGAGAGTTTTAGGCGTATGTGGTCACCAACTGAGTCTCTATGGAGTACAAGAGATTGAATAGATGAGGGGGTTTTAAGGGAACTGTTCTGCAGTGGTTAGCCAGGGCTAATAAGCTGCAGCTGTATATCCAGTGGAGATGCATATGTGCATACACACATGTATGCAATGCACACATATACAAGCAGATGTAGGACTAGATTATACCCAGTATAAGAATGACCATCTAATGTGAAATGACTTGAACACATATTTACTTTTAGCGGGCTCCAACAAGAGCCTGTCTTTAAATCGTTTACAAAACAGCAGAAGGACTTGAGAAAGTTCAAATAATCCAACAAACTGTGCGTGCACAGTTGTTCAGCGTGCTCTCTGTGGTTTAGTGCCTCTCGCAGGGAATTGCTTTTCATCTTGTTACATCATGGCACAAGGGGAGAGCCGAAGACAGAGAGCATTTTTAGAGTGCAGACTGCTTCTTTGGTGAGCAATCTTTTAGCCCCGATTACGTCAAACTGCACAGACATACAGCTGCTCTCGGAGTCTGAGAAACACAGACAAACAAGCACAGGCAGAAGCAGCAAGGTAGGTAATAATTGTACCGAGCAGGTTTATTTTCAGCCTAATATTCAGGAGTATTTAGGAGAGATGGCAGTAGAATTGAGTAGAACTATTTTGCAGAGTCTGATTTTGAAGCGGCTGCTTTTAGACATACGTGTTAGAAAACCTAGACCTAAACCAGGTAGATATCTCCAGGTGAATCTCATCTCCTCTTTTTGGTGTAAATGTTTTATCCTTCAGCACAAAGCACAATGGAACCACAGATGGGGTTTCAGACTGAGCAGACCTCCTAATGTATTAAAAGTAAAATCCAGAGCATGATGTGCATGTGAGTGTCCCGTCTCTGGAGCTGGTCAGATTAAACAGCTGTCTATAATCCTACAGCCTACGGTGGGAGCAGACAGGACAAGCCCCTTATCCTAGTTCTCCTTTCCTTTTCTTTCATTTCCTTTCCTCATCACCATCAAGTTTGGCTTTGGATCACTGAAGTACAGCAGGAGGATTCAAATACAAATATAATGCAATATGTAAATCAGTAAACAAACCAAAATATATATATATATATCAATGGTGTACATCCAGCTCCTTGGAGGCCAGCTTAAAAAATATTTGCATCCACTTATAGCTGTTGCTCGTTCTTCTGCCTCGGTTTTGCATGTTTATGTTCCGAGCGTCTGGCGTGGACCGAACAGCCGAGCACCAATCGTGATCTTAAGGATCACTGTGTCAATGGCCCTCGTACCACATACTCCAGTGTGACGCTCTTTAAATACAGACACCAGCTGTTGAATGCTGCTTCGCCAGCTCTCAGAAATAGGCTTACTGCAAGCACTGAGGCTAACTGACAAGGAGGGGGCATTGAAGACATTTAATAAAAACAAATTATGCGATAGTGATTTAATGATAGCTGATGACGAGAGTACATTGAAAGCACAGCATAGGCAGGGTTTAAAACTAGGTATAAAGGTCAGGGCTATAGATCGTTTACCTTAACAGCATTGATGCCAGGATTAAGGTTCTTTTTTTATTTAGAGAGGTACAAGAGATTATCTCTTAGGCCACCAAGAGGAAAATGATGACAGATGTTTTGTTTTTTAATATGGTGTTATGATGAATGAGGATTATAACATTTTGAGAAGGTTAAAGGATAGATTCTTTGAAAACATTTTTTCTCTTGTGATGGACAGAAAAACGAGGGGGGGAAAAGCAGTTTTCATGACTTTATGTTTCCATAAAAGGAAAAAAAGAAAAACAAAATGGAAAACATTTTATTTTATTGTTTACAAGAAATGGTAATATATGAACTGCAGAGATTATTCAACAAATTCAGCATAAAAATTAAACAAAAACAGAATGAGTGAATGTGTCTAAACTCTTTGGTTCATTTTTTTTCTGGTTTGACTGATACGTGTCACTGACATGTTTTCATTAAATTATCATTTAATATTTGACTTTCTATGATTAATAAATCGGAAAACATGAGCAGCCATTAGAAGTAATAAAATGTCTAAGCTTCCAAAGACACAAAAGATTTTATCCTTTAGATTCTAGATGTGACCAATACACATTTTTTTTTCATCAGGTGGTTTAGTAAGAAATTTTTGCCCTTTAGTTTCATAATAGATACAAGGACAAACCTTACTTCTGTCACATGCATAGGCAATCAGTACCATATTTTGAGTTTTTATTATTTATTGACATCAAAGACAGTTGGGTGATTCACACAAAGTATGTAGGTCCAAAATGAGGAATAATGTAAATGAGAGCAAAAAGAAATAGCAGTGAACATTTCTTGCTTTCGCTCAAAGTGTCTCAGCAGAAGAATCATCACATGGACCATTAAGTCTACTCTGTGCTCACATCTGTTTTTATAAGTTAGAATAATGGCTTTCTAGCTGAAGTTTTTATATTTCTTCATATTCATTTAGGAAAATTACGATGCAATTATTGTAAAAAAAAAAAAAAAAACAACAACCCTCCCATGTGTTCTGATATATCTAGTGGATACTCGATAGATTATCCTAGATCGATTGATTTTGCTCTTATTATTCTTTCACTCTATGGAACGCGGTTATTGGCTGTTTCCTGTCCTTAAAAGTAATCTCCTCAAAGCGCCGAAAAAGTCATCACACTCTGTACTCAGGTTTGCATTGCACGAGGATCTGGTTCCAGCAGCTGCACCGACAGGCGGACACAAACATCGAGTCAAGGCTCCATAGATAGATGCAGATAGATTTTAAGTTTGTGTATACGGTTTCATATTTTTGGCCAGAATTTTAATTGAACTACGGATCACATCCTTAAACTTGCTGATGTACAGTACATCCACATTGTGTTGAGTTTATTGCACCATCCTCTGTTGTTAAGCTACAAAGCTTGGCCTTGCCTTGTTTGGTCCTGGCAGCCTGTCTGGCAGGGGACAGAGAAGACTCTGGTAGCAGGACGGAGCTCCGCTGAAAGCCAGTCTCAGTGATGGACAGCAGCAGATCCAGCTGCACTTGTCACTGGCTGTCAAGCCGGCTGTCTAGGCAGGGGAACGAGAAGGGACAGGCGGAGAAGTGTGTGATATGTGAACATGTGTGTGTGTGTGTGTGTGTGTGTCTGGGGGTTGGAGGTTAGAGTAGGAGGGGGTAGGGTTGGTGTGTGCACTGATTGGGATGTCATTGCTACATGGGTTGTCTATGTGTGAAGGAGAGACCATGAGGGAAGAGGGGGGAAGTGAGGAGCGGTGATCTCAGTTAGCAGCAGCTGAGAGGGAGAGCAGGTGTTATTGTAGGTCTCTTGAATCTCCAGGAACAAAGACAATAGTTTGGAGTTTGGATCCATTCTCACTTTTCGTATTGATCTTTCTTAGCTTAATATATGAGGCTTTTCGGTTTAAGGAAACAGGGTGGAAATGTTAGTGCTTGCCTCTTTAATCCAAGGTCTCCTCTTGGCGTTTTTTGGGGATTTTTAAAACAGGAGCTTCATTTGGAACCTGTTTAGATTTTATTTTATTTATTTATTTTTTTTTCAAAATGGCAGGTAGCAGGGTGCTGAAGAGTGGAACAATGCCAGATTCACCTGCGGATGTGAAAACCCAGCCCAGGTCCACCCCACCTACCATGCCTCCTCCACCCCCGGCTGTGAGCCAAGCAACAAGTCGAAACGCCTCTTTCACACCAACCACCAGTAAATCAAGTAAGACTCCTTTTGTGAAGCTATACAGGTTCTTAAAATGTTTTGGCTGGACCTTGTTTAACCCACAGTTCTTTTACATGCAGTGTAAAAGAACTGTATGTCTTCCTGTAGGCCTTTAAAGTTGACAGACATGAGGAAAAAATCGAAGACGTTTCATATCAGTGATCAAGTTGTTTATAGAAAGCAAAATATGACATCAGAAATTTAAAAAACAGATGAAAAATTTGAACAAAATATTAAGCCAAATGCCAATTCTGATGTTCCAAAGAATAAATAAAACATATAACATAGAATAATTACACAATAATTTTTTTTGATGAAATCAACATTTCAAAATACACTTTAAGTTATAAAATGTACAAAATCAACAGTTACAGTATTTTGAATAGGTTTAATTGCAGTATACTGTTTACTGAACTTTCACTCAACCTCCAAATGACACAGCAGTCGCAGGAGATGACAAATGATTAGTAATGTCCTGATACAACTTTTTCATTTTCGATACGATACTGATATTGCAGCTTTGAGAACAGGCTGATAACACTAGTGACCCGATACGTTATTAGCACGAGTTATGCAAGCTTTTATTACTTAATTCATCATGTAGAATGTTAGAAAAGGCTGTATGAAGTAATATTAATAAAACAGGGAACAAAAGTTACCAACAAAATGTATGAAAACAATTGAGCCATGTTATATTAACCGATGAGTTAAAGAAACTTTTAGAGGTAGTGTTTCTATCAGCACTAAAATACTGGGTGTTTTAGATGCCGGCTGATAAAATACGCTATTCGTTTTTTGGTTAATATCGGACCGATATGTGATATTGGATCCGGACATCCCCTAAAATAATATTTAACCAATAACTAGACTTTCACTTCATTTTCTTAAAGACTTTTCAACACCTATCCAGGGGTCTTTACATTTACAAAGGCTCCATCATAGGTGTCTAAACGTCTTTAGAAAAACTGGACGAAAGTCCAGCTGCCTTCCAATTAAAGTCTGTTTTGTGGTTGCATGACTAAGAATTCACACAGATATTTCACCAATAACCCAAATTGTCTTTTCAACTATTTTGTATTTTTGCTTTTTTTTTGACTGTTTTTCGGGAAATTTAATTGAGCTGACATTCTTCACAACATATTAAATGGACATTGAGTCACTTACCTATATAGGGAGTTATGTAATTACTTATATAGGGAAATGTAGTGGATGAAATGAAATGAAGAAGGGTATTTTTTGAATTTCTGCTATAAGTGGTTTAGTTTTTGTTTTCTTAGCATTAAACATTTCTTTCAGGTTTTTGAGAGTTTCTTATGCCTCCCTGCTTCTCTGTTTCATGGATTAGTTGAGGTGGCTTGTTTGTATCATGTATTTTCTTATGCTGACCTTTATCCCATTTTGCAGGGTGTTTTACAACACTGTCCTTAGGTTGCTTTTGTTTTTGCCTAGTCTTTGCCCATTTATTATTATTATTTCTTGAATTATTTTACCTACCAGAATTATAACTATTCATTAAGCCTAAACATGAGACTGCTGCGTGTCAGATGGTATCTATAATAGACTCTTTTGCTTTTCATTGTGTTTGATTTGATGGTTCTGGTTTACATAGAGTGAAAGGAATCCTGGCTATTTCTCTAGTGAGCAAGTGTCTTGGTCACTTGTGTATCAGGTGTGTCTCTTGTTGCATTTGTGTATCTTTTGGTGTGAACAGTAATCTTGCTGGGAGGAAAAGAGTGTGTGAGTGTATGTGTGTGTGCATTGTTTGTCAGGCAGCGAGTTGGTGCAGGGGATATCAGGCGTTCTTTCTTCCCTATATAGTAACGCCAGGCCTTGTTGTTTCACCTGTCGTGGGTGGCGGTCAACAGCGTAGCTCTCTCCTTGCGGCTCTTCCTCATCTAAAACCAGAACACAAGTGCTGGAATCACATGGGTTAGTCCATATGCTTTCAGGACTTCGACCCATGGATTAGAGCAGCAAGCATGCCTGAGAAGAACCACAAGAACAGGGAACAGCTGAAGGTTAAAGAATCTTTGCCTCTTCCAGAACTAGGACCAGATGAGGCAAAGAGATGCTGCAGGAGACATGAAATGATGCTAGGCATGCTGCTGCTGTGACATGACTTATGGTTTAATCATAGTTACATGACATGTTATAGAAGAACCAACAGCATGTGCCATACAGTCATCATATAATCCCATATGCATATAAATGCAGATAAAAATTGTGACGGATTGAAGAGCAGCGTAAGGGGAAGAGGTCAAGCTGGAGTGTGTGTTTGCTCTTGGGGTATTTACGGGTTTGTATGGGCAGGCACTAAGGAGTGAATGTGTGTGATCATATATGTGTACGAATACTGTGACTATTCCAAACCCAGGGCTGCAAATCTACTCTCAGCTGGTGGACATGTGCAGAACCTGATTTAGTAACACACCTGCTACTGGTATAAAAGTAACACAGCCCACTGCGCTATTTTTGGCATCTCTTTAACAAGTTCCTCTTATAGCTGCGTCCTACTGAGTTAGTGAGTGAGTGAGTGAGGAGCAGGGTGGAATACAGGCCAACAGAGGGGCCGATGGAAAGGCTGCAGGGGGTCAAATGGTAGCACTTGTGAGACAGCTGAAGTTCCTGCAAGTACACAAGCAGCATAGTAGCACAGTAGAAAATTGCATCCCTGCTGTTGTGTTAAGCATCAAACATCATGCATCTGCCTATAAGACTAATTTAATTGCTACAGCTGTCATCAGATCTATCAGACTCCCCATACAGGAAACTCTAATGCTCCCCGTCTGTGTTCTGCTGCAGTGCTGAATGGGAGCAGCTACTCTCCTACCTCGCTAAACGGTGCTCCTTCGACTCCAAATGGCTTCAGTAATGGGCCAGCCATGTCCTCGACGGCCTCCTTGTCCAACCAACAGCTTCCGCCGGCTTGTGGTGCTCGACAGCTCTGCAAACTAAAGCGCTTCTTGACCACGCTGCAGCAGTTCGGCAACGACATATCCCCTGAGATTGGGGAGCGAGTGCGCAGCCTTGTGTTAGGACTGGTGGTAGGTTATGGGACCATCTGTTCATTGCAGCCTAATGCTCCTTTATTGCTTTGAGTATCATGGTGACTGTCAGTAAACATGTTGTGGACATTTTTTTTTTAAAGAAGGTTCAGTTTTATACCACTTCTGTTTTGTCTTTGTCACTTCCTGTTGTTTTAAACAGAACTCCACTCTCACCATTGAAGAGTTCCACTCCAAACTTCACGAGGCTACTAACTTCCCGCTGAGGCCTTTTGTCATTCCTTTCCTAAAGGTAAAAATGAATCAAATCTTTTTCTTTTTTTTATCAAGTGTCTTAAGCGCTAGCTGTGGTTTAATGAAGCTGGGTGGGTCTTCTGTAATTGTATCTGAATCAGATTTAAAAATCTGAAAGAGGAACTAACAGCAAACAGCAGCAGCAAAAGGGGAGCACATGTTTTCACCCGGTTTTAATAAGAGCATCAACAGTTTTGCTTGAAATTTTTAACCAAAGCTTTGAACAGTTCTTTGCTTTGTCTCTATTTTCATGTCTAAGCAATAACTGTCATCAAGCAACGACTCAGCAATTTTTTTTAGCATGTAGTGATTTCAGATACAGGTGGTTTAAACTACCATGGATGCAAAATCGGTGGAAATGTAAGGTGATAAAACAGCAAAACCCAAACCATTTTTTTTACTTTGTTGTCTTATTAATATAATGATAATCCATCTGACCTTGGTCACAGAACATTATTTAATTAAAACGTTTATTGAAAACACATTTAATTAATTTCTTACTCTTCTTTATTTAATGAAAGTTATCCTTTAGTAGATTAGATCTACAGACCTTGGTAGATCATGTCTTTAAATCAAGAAAAAATCCTCGTAGATCAGCATTTTTTGAAATACAAAGACGTGACCATTTTGCACTATAGAACTCATTAAAACATTCAAATAATCTTAGTCCATTTTTTTCCCTATTCTGATGCTCAGTTTGAACCAAGTCTGATGCATTGACTTGTTGACTCACTGTCATGAGAACTGCATGTCAACCTGTGTATCTAAAAAAAAATAGGCAATTTACTGTATCAGCATCTCTCTGTTTATTTTTTCTCTGCCATTAAAATTTTAGTCTTCAGCATTCATGTCAAGCAAACATTTGAATGTTGCTGCCCAGACAGAGGAGCTGCAAAATTCCCACGGGTTTCTCTGCCAGCTCTAAAGCCATTTTATACACCCTAGTTAAACTATCTGTCTCATATTCAGTTGTCTTTCACTTCTGTTCATATGAAACCTGTTGAACTTTAGCGTGTGGGGTCCCATTCAGCTCTTCCCAAAAAGTAAAGCAATGACTTAATTAAAACTTGTATGTAAGCAGTGAACCCATATAAGAAAGACACCGCTTGTAAACATCACTGGAAGGATGTAAATACATCTTTAAAAAAAGTAGGTGTGAAAGAGTGTGTGAAAGCGTCGGACCTCCTGCCGTGCGATGATCCCTCACATCTGGGACGTTGCAGCCATGGCTGTGTTATATCAAGCTGACAGGTCTGAGAGGACTGTTTGACAGCACTGTTACAGACACGTTCACACGTAACCTGCCCTCCCCCCACATGGAGGGACAACACACACAACAGCACACCCCAAAGAGAGCGAGGCACACGTGGAGGAATGTGTCAAGGGACCTGTCTTATCTCATTCTGTCTCTTCATCTATCACTCTCTCTCTCCTTTTTTCCCTGAATTTAACCTGGCATTATTTCCCCCTTCACCCAAAGTTCCACCAAAGGTCTTATTTTTTCCTCTGGTCCACTTAACTCCTTTAAATGTAACTTGATTAAATCTACATCCTTCCTGCAGTAACTTACATAAATCCTAAGCAAAGATGTTTCTCTTTCCTCTTTGAACCAATGAAGGCGAACCTGCCTCTGCTGCAGAGAGAGTTGCTGCACTGTGCCAGGCTGGCCAAACAGACTCCAGCTCAGTATCTGGCTCAGCACGAGCAGCTACTCCTGGACGCCAACGCCAGCTCTCCCCTTGACTCCTCTGAGATCATGCTGGAGATGAATGAGCACGGCAAGAGAAGGACTCCTGATAGGTGAGACATTAGAGGTTTTAATGTGCTGTCTTGAATTAAGTTGGTGTTTTTTGGTCTGCATTTCAAAATGAGAGATAAATACTCCCAATGCCAGCTTGGTTTTGCCAACCGTCTGGGGAGGAGGAAGATGAATACAGATTATTAAAAGAGGAAAAACAGAGAAAAAGCTTAAAAAAAAAACAGGAAGTAAATATAAAGTTGTGTTAAACTTGAGAAAATAAAAGACTGAAACAGTACTGTTTTTAGTCCTCTGCCTCTCCCTGCTGGCCCTATCTTTTATCCCCCCAGCAGCTGTCCATATGTCAAAGATGTGTCCAGGTGGTGACGTGCTGTGTGAGGGTGTTGGGAAGTCAGTGTCTGGCAGTTTTGGATCAATCACAACCAGAGGTTGAAAGCTGAATGTAAAATCCTCCTGTAATCTGCACACCTCCGCCTCCCAACCTCTGGCTTATGTACAGCATGCAGAACTGAACGAGAGTAGGAGGAGGAAGGGAACAGAGCCAACTTTTTTCCAGCTGTTCCACTCATTCGTCGGCGACCAAAGCCAAATACATGCATGAGCTCAGCGCGCACACATGCATGAAACTTCATCTGCATGCAGGCAGCCACATTTTTTTTTATCACGTTTTGTTCCCGTTATGTTAAAGGGTGATTTTTCATCTGAATGCCAAGCTGTAGCCATCCTGCTAAACAGATTAATAGCAACACTCCCATTTAGACTGACCAGATGGCTCAAAGGCATACACTCGCTTTAAGCATACAGACATATACGAGTGTGACCAAACATCTGTTAAATACGCAGCCCTCAACCCCCATTGCCCCTTAAGCCTGACTGCAGGGCGAGGGGGAGGGATATTTGCGATCTAAGAGTAGGCAAAGGGGATATTTAGATTAAGAGCCTGGGATGTTGGGTGTACAGTTGGACTTGGCTCTGTTAGATACATATGGTGTACAGCTGTGCAAAAAGCTTTAGAGAAGCAGTGCTGTACTGTAACTGAACAACAAGCAGCTTTGTCTGTTTGTGTGTGTGTGTGTGCTGGTGGACACCATATGGGAGTTCTCTGACTTAAAAGAAAACATGTTTGTGTTCCTCGTTTTAGCTTCTCCAACAGGAAAGTTTGTTTACCTAAACTGTTTCACACATATAACTGTTTTTGTTTCTCATATTTAAAGGGAATTCATTATGGTCTGGTATTGTTATACAATCTTTGTTGAATCAGGGTGCAATATTTAGCTTTTGTCTGCATCTACCCATTTAGGACCAAAGACAGCTCCGACAGAGATGGCTTGCACCCAGAGCACCTGGCGAAGAGGCCCTGCACCATCAGCCCCAGCCAACGTTTCAGCCCTAGCACTGGACTCCCAGCTCACCCCCCTCCCAATGGCCTTCCAACTCACCCGCCCAACGGTCTGCCCCATCCGTCCAACCCTCAAGTGGGACCCCAGCACTACCGGCTAGAAGACATGGCCCTGGCGCACCAGTACAGGGACGCCTTCAGACACAGTGAACACCGGGACTCTAGAGACAGGCACCGGCAGACAGGTAGAAGATTTTAATTGCTTTAAGGATTTGCTGGTTTCCAATTAGGGACTGAGAAGTGAAGGAATAAGAGAAAGACCAGTTGTTTGGCATGTGTGTGATCCATTTGGCAATGCATCTATATAAAGACTGCAACCATGCCTATTTGACCAACTGTGGCAACCATCTGCTTTTCTATAGGGGACAGATCTGAATTCTTTTTTAGCATCGTTTCATTTTTTTTTAAACACGTGGATGAAGTAAAACCGTGAGGGGAAAAAAGAAATTTGGTTTTAGACTGTTTTTCTTGTAACATCCCATCTAGAATCAATAAAAGAAATATTTTCTGCAGTGTTTTGCCCAATGACTCTGATCTATTAACCAGTTTGGCATTAAAACACCTCAGGATTACAACACAGTTTGCACCAGCATGCATGTATTATGAAGAACGCACTGTTTTATCGTTCATTGAATCTCAACAGCTAACAGGATCTGAAACATATAGTGATGTACTTTTTAATCACTTATTTATTTTAGTAATTCAATTCAAGAAGTGACACTTATGTCATATATACTAAGTACACACAAAGTGATATATGTTATTAGTTTTATGTTCATTTTATTATTAGAGAGAATTATTCTCAAATCAAAGAGATCCTCCTGCTGAAATGTTTAATAATGTACAATAATTCTTAAGCTCTTTCTTGAGTTATAGTATCATTGTGGTGTGTTAGTGTAAAAATTTGGCTTTGCTTTTAGATCACCTCTCTCCTCTTGTTCTTGACCATATCATATATATTCTTTGTAGGCTTTCGGTCAGTTCAGCTTATCCTTTTTTCATTCTAACGATTAATCTTCTAAATGAACAGAGTGAAGAAATAAGACATAACAAACATCAATTGAAGTGTAATGGATCAACAGATTCAGAATTGCATTATTTCAATGAAATACAGTCTCCATGTTTTAAAATCTGTTATCGCAGCTGTAGTTAAGAGTAGGGAATAGCAACTATTGAACAGCAACAGCAGATGATAGAGATGTTGCATTTGTTCCTTTTTGCAGCTGTGCATGGAGCTCGCCAGGAGGAGGTGATTGATCACCGTCTTACAGACCGAGAATGGGCAGAAGAATGGAAACATCTTGATAATGTATGTATGAGTGTGCTTACTCCCAACCATCCTCTGCATTTTTATTGACACTAAACCTGCAGGGAAAGCAGAGGAGTCAGCTTAAGATGTAAGTTAGCTGTAAAACCAAGGATGATAAGCAGATGACGTCAACAGAAGAGAGAAGAGAAGGGTCAGAAGAGAGGGCTGCCCTCATCCCACCTGAGTTAGAAGTTGACGGAGGTAGTAGTCAGTGCAATGAATTAACAACTGACGGACACCTCTCCAGATTTCCCACCACCACACTCCAAAAAAAGAAAGCTGTGAACATTAGAAACCCACACACATACTCTGTTAGTTAGAAACAGAGCCCCAGGTGGAGCTGAGGACCCAGCGGAGAGCCGCTCCAGCTGGGTAGAGCAGCTGAGACAAGAGCTGCAGCCGGGGAGGGAACCGGCCAGGCCTGGACCCCTGCCAAATTAGAAACACTTTACTGAAATAAATATAGCCAATTCAGAGGGGAGGGAGGTGTTCGTGAGGCAGAGGAAAAAAAGGATTAGACTAGAGGGGGTGGGGGTTAATAAGATGGACTGAATGTCAACTATGCTAAACCTATTTAGCAGACCTTGCTGAGTCTGGAAAAAAAGGGGCACTCTACAAAAAAGTGACACAGTTTTCAGCAGAGGGGGGAAAAAACCCACAGGAAATCTGTTGAGTTGGCGAGCAACAGAGCATAGTGGGGGAAGGAATCGGCTCGTGCTTCTCATCCACAGTCCAACTGTTATAATTTTATTGTGGTGATGCTTCCAGACACGGAAATTCACCGAAAGGGACACTTTCATTCAATAGAGTAGATAGAGCAAACCACACAAGCTATCCGCTTGATAGAGGGCATGTTTTTTAGAGTTGGATTAAGATGTGCTCTGCTTAACCAAGTTTAAATGTTGTTGTGGTGCTTTTTTACTTTGAAAACTTCTTAAACTCAAGTTTTCTTTGTATTTCAATCTACGTGATTGTTGATTTGGTCTTAAGCTTGGTGTCGCTTTACTCTAAGGGTCTATGTTCTCTTGAATTAGTGGAGACCCAGTCATTTGTTCAGATTATTTGATTTTTTTTTCTTGTGTTTTTACTGTAAGATTTGGGCAAGCACATGCTTCTAAAAGAATGGGGATTACATTTTCCAACTGACGTTTCAATTTTTTGCCTTTTCAGCTTCTCAATTGCATCATGGACATGGTAGAGAAGACACGGCGCTCCCTGACCGTGCTGCGCCGTTGCCAAGAGGCCGACCGCGAGGAAATGAATCACTGGATCCGCCGCTACAGCGACGTAGAGGAGATGAAAAAAGGTGGGAGCAACGGACAGCACTGCCTTCCTCCTCCTACTACTCTTCCTCCTCCTACTCCTCACCACAACTCCTCCTCCAACACAGCTAGCAGCAGCGAGTCACTGCCCATAGGAACTTCCTCGGCTGCTGAAAGGCAGACAGGCAGACATACAGGTAGACAAACACACTCAGGGTATGTTTGGCAAAGCAAAACACTCATAGCAAGGTAGGGCTCATTGGAGACACTCAAAACCCCTAATATGCCAATTCAGACTCAAAAACTCAGTTAGAGGATCATATTTTCCAGCAGATTTGCAAATTAGAGCTCCCACTGTGAGGCAATACAAATCCACCTGCAGCATGCCGGATTTTTAACTGATTGCACTCTCGTGTTAACAGCATCCTCATTCAGGTTTAAAGCTGGAATTGATTTTTAATCCCTGTATATGCATCCTGTACTTGACATGATCAAAAAAGAAAAACCTGAATGCTTGTTTCCAAATATTGAGGAGGGATACAAGTATATTTCCAAATGTTTCTGCACCTGATTTGTTTTTCTTCCATACACATCAGCAAAATAGAATTGGATGAATGCGTTTTCATGCAATTTCAGAGTGTTGTTTGTTTTGCTGATTGGATGCATGCGTTTGTGTTTCAGAGATCCACAGAGACTTCTTGCACCGGCCTTCCTCAGGATACTTGCCTGAAGAAATTTGGAGAAAAGCAGGTAAGATTGGACCACCCTCAGTCCTACTATCTTCGTGACTGTTCCCCAAACCAAGGGCTAACAAAACACGTAGCATCCCTCTTCACTGCTTCTGACACAGAGCAGAGGCCTTATGGCCGTAGCTCCATGAGACTGTCGGCTAGGAGGCTCTCTGTGTGGTTTAGACTAAACGCTCTCCATTTGTCACCAATATGAAAGGCCACTGCAGTTAAAGCTGCAGTGAAAATGCAGACACCAGGACCTTGTTTAGTCGCAGCAGTGCCGCACGGGGTGGAGCTCACCTGATTTCCTTCACTTTTAGATATGATCTCAAATACCTCTTCTGTCAGAAAAAAAAAAAACTAGACTTTTTGCTCTGCTTGGGCTCCTTGCTTACCATGTGATACACAGAGCCACTCCCAGGAGTTATCCGGCTCAGTCTTGGCTCCCAGTACTATTATATTGCACTCATACTCCAATACCCTGCGGACGAAAAGATGCTGCTGCTGTCGACAAAAATACTGTGCTGCATTTTCACCAGCAGGAAAAGCTCTTTTAATTGCAGTTGTTTTTCATACAGGTACTACAAGCATGCCGCTTTCCCCAGCTCTAAAGCACCTACAAAGCAAGCAGGGTGAGTAGCGTATCTTACTCACAGCATCTCACCCCTTGGTCTTTGTGTGCACATGTGTCACCTTCAGCTCTGCAGTCAGGTAGTTTTTTTTGTTGTTGTTGCTTTAATTAAAAAACCAGACACATATTCTTTGGTCTGGCTGGGGTTGAGATCTAAGATCTGAAGTGCGTAAAAGCAGCCAGTAATAACACGTCTTAGGGACTTGCCAAATCTCTGCGGAATTAAAACGTTAATATTGCTGCCCTCGTGTTTTCCATTAAGTGCTAATTGCCCCAGCATCTGCTATGCAGTCTTCTTGATAAGAATTAATTAAATTTGCAAACTAATCTTAGTGGTGCATGCATTAAGGCAGATAATTGAGAGGCTTGGAATAATGCATATAGTGTTTGCAAGAGGGAGAAAAGAGGGAAAGGGGTATCAAAAGAGGAAATGAAGCGTAAAGGTAGAGACGGGATGACAGAGTGAGCGAAAGCTCTGGCTAGGGTAATTTAGTGTTAACAGGATTTGGAGAATCAAGGTTTTTTATTTTAATTAAGCTCATTGAAGAAAATATTTGCCCCCTACCTTTTATAGGGCCTGGCTTGTCAGTTAATAAATAATGTTATCTTTGATTTGTCCTCGTTTGATATTGAAATTGGTTTGCTGTTCTGAGATATTTAGGTGTGAGAAAGTAAAAGAAGGCTTCTAAGGGGTGAATCATTTCTGAGCACAAGAGTCAAGCATGGATAACTATCCTCTACTGGCTTATTTCCTCTGCACAGTAGTTTGAAACAACTGAGTGGATAGGTGAGGAAAAGTGACAGATATTTATGAGCTCCCTCTCAGACAGAGGAAATGGGGATCGGCCGGGAGAAGAGCATCAGCCTCAGCTCCTCCTTGGTTGGTCTAACCCACCTGGCAGGCTTTCTGTATGACTGTTATTTGAGTCTCTGTGTGTGTGTGCCCCTCTGTCTCCCTCGCACATCTGGGGGAGGAATAAGATTTAACATTTAATTTTTACAAATGCATTGCTTTATTTGAAGGTGTGAATAAAAATAGGAATGTGGCAATCACAATAAGCACTTAACTAGTGAGGAGCAGAAATTTGGCAACCTTGTTCATGGGTAAACATACATGTGTACAGTTTTGTGTGGTTATATATATATATATATTTTTTTAGTTTTTTTTGCACTTCCTATCTGAACTGAACGAAAGCAGAAAGTGTCCAACTTTTAATTGTAGTGTAAGGACAGCATCAATCAAAGCAGCTAAAAGGTGCAACACATTCCATTCTGGTTCAGGTCTGGTGCCAGTAAACATACAACATAGATGGATTATTTGATTTTTAGAAAATATAAATGATATAAGAATTGGTGGTATCTTTTAATCCCAAAACATATTTCAATCCGATCAAGGATTTTTGTGCATGTAAACAAAGCTTCTGAACCCTGTATAGACTTCCAGCAGGACAACAGTGAACACACAATCAACGCTACAATGCAGTGGTCCAGATTAAGGTGCACTGGTGTGTTAGAATGGCCAAGTCAGACCCAAAAACAGTTGCTGAGGTCACAAAGATTCAGTCTCTAGATGTGTAAAGCTGGAGGTGACATACAAGGGAAAATTCTACAGCTGTGATTTTATTAATGTTGATTTTCTAAAGTACTTGCTTGGGGTGGATTAAGTCAAATGCTTGCTACCATTTACAGAATTTAAAGAAAATATTTAGAAAACAATTGCATGAGATGTTGCTTTGTCATACAAAATAACAAGAAAATACAAAGAACTTTGAAGTTGCATTTTAGCAAATTGTGAATAAGGTCGTGGTCATGAATACTCATTCAGAACTGGTAAAACGCTCCTGTGGAAAAAGTCCTGCCGTCTTGCATGCCAACAGCAGGGAAGTCATTTATTCTCACTCTCTTACAAACTCCTCTTAAATTGTTTCATATCTTAATTTTACTTGTCTTGCCAATAGCATTGCGTTTAGAATAATAATAAAAAAAGCTGCATTCCCAGGTAGCGTTTTAGATGTTTGATTAATTTTCTTAAGATGGTACACATAGATGAAGATACACCTGGCCTAAATATATTTGGAAATCTGTATAATATGGAATAAAACAAATGGAAGTTGCATAAAACTTATCTGAGAATAGAGAAAAATAGCAAAGGTTTTTGCAGAGGAATAGCACCATATACTGTAAATAACAAAAATATTAATCTAAATCTAATGCTATTTACAAGTGCTGCGATCTTTGTACAATTTGCAATGGAAAGTGTCAGTGGGGCAGCCAGGCCTGTTTAATGATTCCAGCTGCAGACAGGAAGAAAATGTTTTTTTGGTTGTGGATGTTGGTCCTGATGGACCACAGCCTCCTTCCATAGGAAACGTCTGAAACAGTTGGTATCAAGGGTGAGGGGGGTCAGTTGCAATCTTTCCTGTTGCATCAGGGTTCTGGAGGTGAAGAGAAGGAAGATTCACACAGGCAGAGATGAGGTCAGTGAGGGATGTGTAATTTGCAAACTTCAGGAGTTTGATGGACTGGTGACTGGAGTTATAGATTTTAGGTGTACAGGGAGGTAAGCAGAGGGGAAAGGACACAGGCTACTGGAATTAGAGACTTTTTGTTTTTCTGCTTCACCTGCAGCTTTTTGTCTGTTTTGAAGTCTGTGATCCACTAGCAGGTGGGGTCAAGCTGGAAGACAGAGGTTCAAAGGTTTAAAGCTGTCAGGGTAGAGACAATGAGATTCACCCTTTAATCATTAAAATCATTTTCTTTTATCTGTGTTCCTCAGAAGAGGCGGTGAACGAGGTAAAGCGGCAAGCCATGTCGGAGCTGCAGAAGGCAGTGTCAGACGCAGAGAGGAAAGCTCACGAGATGATTTCTGCAGAGCGGTCCAAAATGGAGAGGGCGCTCGCTGAAGCGAAGAGACAAGCTTCTGAAGACGCGCTAACGGTCATCAACCAGCAGGAAGACTCCAGCGAGGTAAGCATAAATCACCTTTATCTAATAGTAAAGAAACACTGAGAATAAAGCAAACAGATGACAGCTTGATCACTAAAATATATTTTACATGTTTGCCTCTATTTTTATTCTTTGTGTTTCCTATCTTACAGTGGGTTCCTGGCCCTAAGCTTTGGAAAACATGTCCTTCTTAAACCCCCATTCTTATTATATACTCATCAGATCAATATCAAAGTTTACTTTGTTCTCAACAGATAACAATTCTCTTCTATAATAAAAAGAAAAAAAACATTTAATGGAAGAGTTGTTGCTCAGTTGTTCCAAGCCTAAATGTAAAGCTGTTTAGCCTGAATATTATACAAAATAGATTATTTAGCTGGTATGAGTTTACCATCTAAAATTCTGGTTACATTGAGCTTAAAATTCATTAAAGGTTGTAATTCTTTCAGGAATAAAAGCCATATGACTCAGAATGCCTGGTTCAGAACTTCAGGAAGCATTTGACCACCACCAGCTAACAGCATATCAGCTGGCAATGGATCAAAATCCCCTAGCACCATAGGAAGTGTACATTTAATCTATCTCCAGCAGTCAATGGGCGAGAGGCAGGGTGCACCCTGGCCAGGTCACCAGTCCATCGCAGGGCAACACAGAGACACACAGGACAAACAACCATTCACACACACACTCACACCTAAGGACAATTTAGAGAAGCCACTTAACCTAACAGTCATGTTTTGGACTGTGGGAGGAAGCCAGAGTACCCAGAGAGAACCCACACATGCTCAGGGAGAACATGCAAACTCCATGAAGAAAGACCCTGGGCCGGGAATCGAACCCAGAACCCTCTTCCTGTAAGCCAGCAGTGCTACCCACTGTGGCACTTTAAAGATATTATTATATGTGTATGAAAGAGCGTGACGTGTCTAATACAAAAGAGAAAACTCATATTAAATGTCTTACCAATGTAGTCTTACATTATACAAACATTCGTCAAGGATCATCAATCACACTAAAACTTAAAAATGTGGTCAAATATTCAAGCACAGAAATTGGAACAGTCAAAATGTATAAAACATAAAAATCTTCAAAGGTTTGCTCATCTGGTGTTATTTCTCTCAGTTAGTTCAATTCAGATCTTCACAAATGAAGACGTTTAGATTGACTAAACTGATTAAATGTTGGATTAAAGATAAAGAAGATTAATTAATAAATGGTCTGCTTGAGTGTGAAACGAATTAATGTTTTATTTTTTTTTAAAAGGCGTTTTAAAATATTTAGGTAAAGCAACTTATCATTTGTCCTCCATTAATATTTTGTAGAAAATGTGATAGAAAAATGTGTCTTACTTTAAACAATTAAATCATAATAATTGGTATTTATCTTGGTGTGTCTTGGTTTGAGTTATAAGCCTGTGCGTATAACTCAACAACCCCCCCCCCCCACCACCATTGTTAAGGAGGGGCATGTTGCAGTCCCCTGATCCCGTCTTTCATCTCTGTCTCTCCAGAGCTGCTGGAACTGTGGCAGGAAAGCCAGCGAGACGTGCAGCGGCTGCAACACGGCTCGCTACTGCGGCTCCTTCTGCCAACACAAAGACTGGGAGAAGCACCACCACGTCTGTGGTCAGGGGCTGCCAGGGGGCAGCAGCGTTCCCTTGGGCACCCCTTCCTCCACCTCCTCTGTGTCCTCCACTGCGCCCCCAACCCACTCAGAGAGCTCTCCTCCGGGACCCCTTTCCCTGGTGGGGCAGAGCAGTATTGCAGGAGTTGCTGGCAGCGGGAGCATCTCTGCCAGCCCCAAAGAGAGCAGTTCAAGCAGTGCCTCTCGCTCCACGACCCCAGCGACCCCTGCCCTACTGGATGCCACCTCTCGCTGACGTCCGGGGCTCTCTCCCTGCCTGTGCATACTGAAATGACAGTGCCCACACTCCACACAAAACCAAACTGAGGAATCTGCATTCTACATGGCTCCCTTTCCTCCACTTCTTCATAACCCTCTCCTTGCAAGCTCTGTGATAACTTCTTCAACAACCAGTAGCTTTTCACAGCGTGCATAACGTTTAACCTCCCCCACAGACACAAAGACTCCAACCAGAGGTTCAACATGGTGCAAAACGTGCATCTTGCCGTGTCTGCTAAAATATAAGTTTTGTTTGTCGAGAATGAAAAAGGGTTGCCCTCAGTAATGTAGGTATGGGAAGGTTAGGGGCTTGACTAGGCAGCATTGATGAGGGATAACTAGTACTTGATAGGATTTCCCCTTTAATTTAGCACCAGGGAAGGCACAGGAACCAGCCCTGAAATGAGCACTAAAAGTGGCACCTCTGGAGTTTGAAAATGAAGAGACCAGAAGCATAACCTCATTCTGAAACCTAGGTGGAAAGGGATTAAAACTGTAATGCGATGTATTCCTCAGAAACACAACTTAGTATTTATTAAAGGTTTTTTCTGGCTTTAAGGAAAACAAAGATTATTCCAAATGTTCTGAATAAAGAATAATAGCGCTGATGATGACGATGATATAAAAATAAATTAATTTTTAACTGGTAACTACCTTGCTAGCAAGCCAAGAATATCTACACCAGACTCACCTCTCTGCACCATTACGAACCCAAATAAATTCAAAGATGAAGCAAATAACATGATCCAAACCTTTTTACTACACTGCCAAAGTAAAAAACAAAACAAAAACGTGATACATAAAAGCACTCATCTTATAACCAAACACAAAACAACATCACCTCCTGAGCAGAAAAGCCAGCCCTGAGAGGACCAGGCATCGAGGAGCTGCATCAACTAAACTGTGACCTGCTTTGATCGACAGCTGCCTCTACAGTTTGGATGAACCTACAACATTTCCTCAGTGATGGCCCAGACTAGTGAATATTGACAATGCTGTGAACTTGAAATTGATGGAAAACCTGCCACAGTGTGGCTATTTTCTGAGGACATGATGAGGGGGGGAAAAAGGAAAAACCTCAAAGGAAGCAGAAATGGACGCAAGGCATTGGAGCTGCCAAAAACACAAGCTTGGAGACTGCATTGAAAATAATGGGAATGTATAAGGAGATGGCTCAAAAGTAGATTGTTGCTCTGTTTTTGTTTTGTTTTGTTTTGTTTTGTTTTTTTAACACAAGCTTACCAGGAGGAGGTACGTTGAGGAATTGCCATCACCTTTATATTCACTCCATCCTTTTCCAAAGCATGACTAAGCAGTTCAGAAGAGCCAACAGGGCGGAATAAACTTTATCCTCCTTTCTTTCTACCTCCCCTCATCCCACAACTCCCTTCCTTGCTCGTATCCACACTAGTTGAGTCGTATTTAACCCCCAAAATACGGGGTTTGCTTTGAACAGACCTCCACAGCACTCACACAGGGAGGGTTGAACCTGCTTGTAGATATTCCTCTTCTCTTGTAATTTTTTCATAAATGTCTTCTGATTGCTGATGCCACATGTGCTGCCCTTGTGTATACTACCCCCTCCCAAAAAAAAGGACTTTGTTTTGGGTTATTTACCTTTCATTTTCATCAAAGTTTAGGTTGATCAGTCAAAACAGAGGCTATGATGCTTGTTTATGAAAGGAATTGCCCCACATTGTACTTATTGTTTGAATTGTTGTATCTATATTAATGAGATGAAACCCCTCTTGTAGAATATTTTGTATTGCTCGCATTGTAAGACAGTGAGAGGACGGAGGTGCAATATGAAGAGAATTCAGCTACTGAATGGAACCTCAGCAACTGCCCATAGGGTGTCATATAATATAGATACATATAGATATATTTAAAGCAACATCAGTAACTTAATGTGAATGTACATAGTATTTAAAAAGGTCCAAAAATGTGTTTGCCAAATAACAAAAACCTTTAAAGTTCAGAACGTGACTTTTTTTTTTTCTCACAGTACATTTGTTTTTCACTCATACAAGCTGAATTTTCAATTCAAGTGTCATGAAGCTGTTGACGATAGATGTAGCTCCAGGCCACTTAACGTTATGTGTTTTGATCTGCCATTGGTAGATCATCCTGATATAGTCAGTTGTAAAAGGGTTAAAACATATTGGATCCATTTAAAATCTGTCAGATTAAGGAGTTCTGTCCCTTTGACCAACTTTGGTGACCGTAATGGTTCTCTGTCTTGGTCCTGATCAATCTGTGTATGTGATTTCTGATCGTTCTTTACCTCCCCTGTTATACAAGACAAGCCATTACTGTAGGGTAAAGTGATAAACCAGTGTTAAGCTCACATCAAAAGTAATTTTCTGTCTTTTAGACTCGACCATGTTTTGCATAAAGATGTGATTTAAGAATAAGCTGTAGGTGTTGAGCAGGCTTTTTGATTCCAGTAGGGAAATAAACAGACTGAATGCCTTTTATACAGATTTTTGTTAGCCCTACATCACTGGCCCTATTTACACTTTGACCAAACTTGGAAAAAATATTTTTGGACTATTTGGGATGACTTAAAATTCAAATAAGCTACAACAAAAAAAAAGGTCATGCTTGTTTTTTTTGGTTTGTTTTGGTTTTATTTATGTTATTTTGTTGGGCTTAGTCTTTCCTTTGGAACATCTTTATTCTCCCCTAATGTCTAATAGTCTCTCAGATCCATCACATGCCCCCCTGTCCCTGCTGAAACGAGCTACCTCCTGTGAGCATACAGCGAACCACCAGGAGAAGCTGACCTGGTCTTTCAAAAAATAAAAAAATAAAAACACAAAAAAACATAGATTGCTTCAAAACAGACATGGGCACACAATCGCAGTTATAGGTTATCAAATGAATCCCCACTGAAAGGAGCTGTCATTACTACCGATGTGGACTGAAACATCTATTTTCACCAGACTGCAACTTTATAGTTAAAAAAACAGCTTTTGTTAAGAGTTATTAATAGACACACATTCAGTTATTCCTGCTTTTTATTAAAACAACCACAGATTCATTGATGATAATTCATTTAATGTCTGAAACCAATAAAAGCACAAACCAAAGTACTAGTTTTCCATTGTAGACTGCAACATGGCAAGTAATGACAGATGGCAACCAGTCAACCAAAGTATGTCTGAAAAATACACACTAGGACAGTGCAGGAGAGCCTGCTGGACAAACAAACAGGCTGAGTTTCAGATGTGAATTCATCCTCAAGCAATCAAAGAGCTTGTTGACTACATATTGAGTAACGCTCCTCTATAAACAACAGAAGCGTCTCCTTTGGAAAAAGCCAACTGTGTGTACTTATAGCTATAAAGCCTTGCAGAGTTTAAGTGAATGTGTGGTACTTGTGTGTCTGTCTGCGGATTGTGGTGTGCCTATCTTTTAGTAAAAAAGAAAGAAAGAACAAAACCAAACAGCAACAACAACAACAAAAAAATCTTTATGTCGTTCTGCAAACTACTTGAAAACTTCAGAGCTTTAATGAAACCCAGACAAACAATAGTGGTGCATTGATTAAAAAAAAGAAAGAAGCAGTTTGGTGCAGGTATATCTATATAAACATCCACATCATAACACAATAGGGTGACAGTTCCATTCAGGTCTTGAAGTGCTTTGTGTGATCCTCATTGTCTGCGAGTTAGACCTCAGATAAACAAAGCCAAACCCAATAGACAGCATACAAATTACCAAAATACAACCAAAAAGCTGCAACTTTTTTTTAAGTTACATTTTTTTGTATGAAAGAAACCTAGATCCTCACCCCCTCCTTACGTCATCATACTGCAAGTTAGAAAAAATGAAACCTTTCCACTGTTTTTTTTTTTTCTGTCAAGGTATTTTAGTTGCTAGATGGATCCTAGACCTCCTATTCAAGGGTCTGCTAACTAATTCCATCAGCAACATTTTTTATATATGGGCAAAAGACATGTCCACAGATGTGAGCTGGGTTGGTGTTTGTCTCAGCCTGTAAGACAACTCAAAAAGTCTGCCTATGTGATGATGACACGACCTTCCTGTGAAACAAGTCCAGAAAGCTGAAGTGGCAAACGGTGGACGCAGCACTTGTTTTCCGATAAGCCATGGCTCCGAATGATCTCATTTTTAAACTTCACATAAACTGAAAACAAGTTTATGCTTTTGTATGTGTAGGGACGCCTTCTATACTGTATTGTGCAATACACTGATACAGAAAAAAAAAGACATGTTTCTGTGGGAAAGGCTGGCGCTTTCAAGATCTTTCCTACTATGTTTCATTTCTCTCTTCTGACAGTCCTGTTGCCATTCTTACAGTAGATGAAGTAAACTGTGCCAGAGGAATTAAATTCTGATTTGTATTTATTTCTTGCATGCTTCTCTCCCTGTTGCTAATACCGCTTTTTAACTGTTCGCTCTGTTGGATGTGTGAAGCTGTAAAACATTCTAATTCAGGTTATTGTCTGTGTTGAACAATGTAACTGTGTAATTAAAACATGAAATGACATATCCATCACACTCCTTCCTTTTCTTTATCTTAATCAAAGATGTATTTCTAAAACAGATTCCTTGGGGGAAGAAAATTGTTCTTTGTTATTCAGCTCTATTATTAGTGGGGTAGGGTTATATAGATCAATGCACTTCCATGTCTGTAGTTTTAAGATACCAATAGATCCCAACACATTTGAGTTCAATATGAGCTTAAGTGTTTGTTCTTTTAAATATATATGAATATATAAAGAGAGAGAGACAGAAACAGATAGATATATGTCAAATCTGAAAAGTGCCATTCTTTTAATGACTTGCTCAATATCAACTCTGCAAGAACAGAGAGATATCCTCTTTACAATAATAATTTGAAACTTTTTATCAGGCTTATTTCTATTTGTAAAATAATCGACCTTAAATGGGTAGATATTTTTCCCACTAATTTCTACCTATTATTTCTATTTTTAGAATGACCTGCTTTAGGGCTCTGTCACTTTTATGCAGATTATTGTTTTTGCACATATATCTCCACACACCAGCAAAACATTTATGTTTTGCACAAAAATTCCACTGGATGTATTTTTTAGCGCCAAAATGGAGGTACAAAGTTATACAAAAAATGCATTTTCTGAAGACAACCCTTAAGCCTGTAAGGTAAGTAGCAGTTCTATTATAACCCAACAAAAAAAAATAATATTTTAAAATATATATCATTACATTTCTACCCCTTGCACATGTTGCCCTGCATTCCATTCTGCTAGAACTCACACAGCTTGCATCATGATGCACGGTTGTAACTTGGGAAACAAATTAAGATTGTTTCTGCTTAGAAATCCTCCAGTGTGGTTGATTTAAAATAAACCAGTAAAGAACAATCATTAGGGTTTAGGTAGCAAAAACCTTTTCACATATGTCAAGATTGGTTGGGATGGCTTTCTCCCTTACTAAATGAGGCCCTTACAATGAAAAAAAAACTGTTAACTATATTGAATTATCGAAAAAGTCATATCACCGCAAAATTGTTGTGAAAATATTGATATTGAATTACTGTCCACCTTTAATTTCATGCATTCAAATACAAATAAAAGGACCATGTTCACTAGTAGAGTTTGTAGGGTATTATGTATGACACCAGGTAATCATGCTAATAAATAGTCTATGAAGAAAACTTTAGTTACATTTTATGTGTAGCTGCTTAGCCAGGTCTTTCTCAGTCAGAATCCAATTTTTAGGAGCTATTCTTATTTACTTTTAATTAGAACCTGTATCATAACATTACATCAGTGTGTCTTATATTCACACATTAGCCACAATAATTAAGTAGGGAAAAATGTTAATATTTTTTTTAAACTTAAGACAAATGTCCATCCTTTTCTCCCCAAAAATACAAAATTTACCATTAAGACTAACATTTGTCTGAATTGTTTTCATGGTTTAATTTAGCAACTAATAGTATAATTGATGGCAGTGGAACCAAGCAAAATCAGTATTTTCCCAATGGAGGTGAAAATAAAGAGGAAACGTCCAAGATCAAGTTTGAAAAATCACGAAGAGTATCCCATGCCAAGAGGGACACAAAAGAAACATGAAGATTGGTGTTCAGTGGAATCATGAGAAAGTACTGCCAGCACATGGCAATGATATCCAATAATCTTTATGCCAGTGAATTACATCAGTGCAAAAACTATTTTCAGGCTCAAGAAAGACTAGGCAAACACTATCAAGACAAACATTGGCTCATATTGCTCTATTTAACATCAATAAAAAAGTTTTGTCTGCTTCTTAGACATATTATGTAAATAGGTCCCTTTGATTGGCCAGACAGACGGACTTATGCCTTGAGTCAGTCAGGCTACCCTTTAATGCCAGTGTTGAAAGAAAGATAATAAAAACATTAGTGATGGGGTTATTTTTTTAATTAATGGAGTAATCTCACTTTTTTGTTTTCTCAGAATGTTAAAGCAGTTACTTTGTTTGCAATCTAACTTGGTGGGTTAGTACAATTTGATCATTTAAAGCAAATTTTCGTAAGCACACCTTGAGGAGGAGAGAGGGAGCTTCCCGTGCAGAGATGGAGCAGGAGCCAAAGGCATAAATGATGCTGATTGGCTGCTGAGATGTAATATAGGTAGGTGTTCAGCATGCAATGATTGATCGCATAAACTGAAAAGAGAGATGTAGATTCAATGATGGTGTTCCTAAAATAGAAGCGTTTGGTAAAATCAAAGGCTAAAGGTTCCTGTGATTTGCTTATTATGTTCAGGAACAATAACCTAATACACCTCAGTAGCAAACAGCTCTAATCTAATAAATTATTTTACACTGTCTCAACACTGACACACACCTGGCTGTCTTAGCTGTTACTCTTTAGTTTTTTACAATTACATGCTGGAAGAAAGTCTTCCTTGTCCTTGATCATAAAGCACTTAATTTTTGTCAAATTGCTGGGAAAGTATTGACCTAATGGTACCTCTTAGCAGTTTTTAGCCTGTTAAATTAGAGATATTTTTCCCATGGGTGTTGCTGAGAATACTACTCCAAGCATTTCTTCAAGGGTGGACTATAGCAAGTCTTTGCTATCGGAAGTCCACAAACTGCAGTTAAAAGCTTTCAGCTGATCAAAAATACTGCAGTCAGAGTTCTGATAGAAATTAGAAAGAATCTGCAGGTTTACCTGTGGTTTCTAGAATTTCAAATTTTTTTGATTGATTGATTACTTATTTTAGTGTCAAGCACCTTAACTGGTGGCCAGCCCTCATAAGCTTATTAGAGAGAGCTAAACGTAGATAAGCAAACAGATCTTTTAGTTATCAGGCTCCTCTCCTGTGGAACCAACTACCAGTGTTAGTCCGTTAGGCAGACACCCCGTCTACTTCTAAGACTGAGCTTAAAAGGTGCCGTTTTCATAAGGCTTAAAGTTAGAGTGGCTCAGGTTATACTGAGCATTATCTGTAGTTATGCTGCTATATGCTTAGACTGCTGGAGGACATAGGAACCACACCTCATCATTCTGCTTCATTCCATCTCTATTCTCCCATTTTGCAGTATATATTTGTTCAACCTCTAACTTAATGCTCTCTCTGATTTTCCTTGTCATGGTAGCTTCATCTGGCCTGACCCTGTTAGGCAGAGAGCCTGTATCCGTGCCCCACTTTTAATTTCTCAATGTGAGCCTATTAGTGGCAATTTTCAATCATATGAGCACAGAGAGAGGTGAATGACCAGTGAATAACACATAATTAATAATAATTATGTGTGTAAATGACCCACCCACTTTCTAGTTTTCATCTCTCCTAAGTACCTATTCAGTTCTGAAGACATATACCTACATAATTCAAAAACACAAAAAATTACTA